CAAGAACAAAAATATATCTGGAAATAAATTAAGCTAAGCGAGCTAATGCCAAACATCTTAATAAATCAACCAGGAGGGAGTTCAATTTGCTTCATGTAATATTTTCGTCTTCGCTGTCACTGCCAACATTCATTCCGAACGAATGATGCAGAAATAGGAATGTGTGTTTCCATTTTAAATGAAATTATACAAAATTTAATTTTTAATATGTTTTAATATATAATTTTCCACTTCATAGAAAATGCAAGTAACATAAAATTCTGCGCTGCCATTCCATCTGGTTGTCAACTAAAATTCCTCAGTGACCTTAAAAAAATGAAGGACAACATTATTTCGGTTTTTAAGAAATTGACTTAATACTAACCTTCGTATACACCAACACGTCGCTCCACAATGCATATTATCTTGGAAAGGAATTAATTATATTTTTTTTAAGTCAAATCAATATTGTGTCGTCAGTCGGTGTTGTATTTCATCAACTACCACAAAATGAATTTACAGGTAAGATAGTGTATGAAGTATATGAACATATGAAACAACCGTATGCTTATATATAATATAGGATGTAGGTCTGCTATGCCTCATATGTGTTTTATTTAATAACTACTTCGTACTTTAGTGTTTCTAAAGAAAAATTTAAAAAAAAATAGCACAGGTAGTACCTTAGTTACTTTAGTACGGCAATTTAAACTTTTTGATTAATAATAAAAAGAAATACAAAAAAAAATTAAGTGTCGTATATTGATCCATTAAAACACGTTGTAAAGCCGTTTCATAACAAAGCGAAGGATATCTGAACAGCAGAATCCGTGATTGAGTGCGATTTTTCTTTTTTTTTTTAAAATAATATCTCGTTTTGCTATTTTTAGTTTTTTATAGGCAAAACCATTTGAATCAATTAGAAGGTGCTTCTCTCCTTAGCGAAATTTTGACATCGATGTTCGTAAACTTCATCACTTCAACTGCTGCGGCCAATAATTCTTTTATGTAAAGGATTATGTTTCCTTGGAAAGTTTCAAACAATTCTATTCTAATAATACGCTTTTAGAAGCTTCCTTTGTTCGTATTTATTCACGATTTTTCGAATTCAATATTTTAGCAGAAATATGTATATATCTCACTTAAACAACCCTAAAATTTTCTTTTTCTTTACCCTGGAAAACTTAAATTTTCTATTTTTTTCCTGACAAAAACAACTTTTTTTTTTTTTATTTTATTTTTTTTAATGCTACAGTGCCGGTGCCCATTACAACTTTGCTAAACTTTAATATCCAATATCAGCACCCAACAATTCCGTAGATTCACTTTTTCTACGTAAATAGTATTACGTTTCATCTTTCGTATTAGCCATATAATATTTTCAAATTCAATTACCATTTCATATTTTGGACAATTACTTGATAGGAAATACGAACACTGACAAGAAAATTAAGTTTTCCGTCACTTTACTATAATGTTAAGTACTAAATAACCAATAGAATTAAAAGTAAAGTTCGCTTTTAAAAGCTTTCAGTTGTTTGTCCTTTTCTAGGTACTCTCTATTAAATCATCTGCAAGCTATGCGTGAAACAACTCTGTCTTAATGTTACGTTTAAGGATTAATTATAGATAGAAACCACCCCCAGGTTCATATAAAATAAGGATAACTGGACTATGTACTTAAAGCTTTCTTCTTTCCTTCACAAGTAAATAAATGAAACGTCAATTTTCTATACAAAAGGCGTCGTCGGCGTCATAGTTATTAGCCTATTAATTTTATTAGATAGTGTTTAAGGTATAAAAAACTTCAAATGAAATTTAAAGTTTATTTTGTAAATAATTTTAACTTACTAAAAATTTTTAATACCAGCTATCAAGTATGTTATAAAATGTGTGTGATTTAATAGGAAATCTCTGAAGCAATATAGTTTTTAGAAATTCAGTTTTGCTTATAAGTTAAAGTGTATATTAACCTTGCGACATGTGGCAAGGCAGCGACAAAACTATCGCCACACTGGCAATGTGCAGTTTGTTGAGATATTTATTTTGTTTTTATGTTTTGTGTGTTTTGTTTGCGGTGTTTACATATTTGCCACACATTATCGCCGCTGATAATCAAAACATAGACGTTAATTATCGTCGTCAACATCGCCCTCGACAACAACGGCAAACCTTTAATGCTGATCTTTGGAATGAAGTAGAAAAGGGTTATTGTGCTCCTTATAATGGCAAGATATGTAAAGATTACATCGAAGGGCAAGTTTGGTATAGTCGGGACGATCCTTCTGGTGGTTGGAAGAATGAACAAATTAGTACCGTTTTGTGGGAAGAATTGATAGCCGATTTGAATGGTTTATGTAGACAAGCAGCGGAAGTAAAGCAATACATAAACAATATAACTTACTCTTTTTATTATACAACTTAACTTACTTTAGAAGATGTTATGCGCTTATGCTTTTCCACGATGCATGATGGGAAATGGTGTTCCCATTAAGTTACCGTTATGCTATGAAGATTGCTCTGCTGTACATCTACAATATTGTTATAATGATTGGGTTTTAATTGAGGAAAAAAAAGAACGTGGTATTTTTATTAAAAGTCGGGGACATTTCCGTTTACCGAATTGTTCTGTGCTACCGAAATACAAAAATAACACCGCCAAGCGTCCTGTATGTTCATATGTGGGTCTAACCGAGTTCACTGAAGATGAAATTAGTTGTAAGTAAAAAAATTTACATTTGAATATTTCAAATTTTCAAAATTGTTTGTGTAGATGACTGTCGTAACGGTAATGGTCATTACTATTTGGGCAGCGTTAATGTCACCAAATCTGGTATACCATGCCAACGATGGGACTCTCAGCATCCTCACAAACACATACAACCGCCTTTAGTGTTTCCTCAGATAGCGGAAGGCGAAAATTATTGTCGTAATGCTGGAGGTGAGGAACCATATCCATGGTGTTATACGGTTGACGAATCTGTGCGTTGGCAGCACTGTGAAATACCGTTATGTCGTAAGTTTCAAACGAATACTTTGACTTAGTTTAAATATACACGGCGAGTTTTTAGATCTTGTTTTATAAAGATATATACGATTAAAAATCTTTTTTTATCACCTAAGTTTTTAATACAGACTATCCATCCCATTATTGTCAGATTTTGCATTACCTATTCACATTTGGATTGTGATTAAAAAATGTATCAAACCTTAGATATGTGCATCCATGACTTTCCTATAGGCAAAAAATTTTCGCCTGCCTTTCTTTTAAAACGTTTATGAATTTTTAAAAATTTTATTTCAGCCAATTATATTGATACTACTTTAAAGGAACTGGAGCCTATTAAAATGGAAACATTTTTTACGCCCTCCGTTATATTTCTGCTGGCTGGTATTGGTTTCGTAATCATTGTCGCTCTGCATTTAATCATTCTTTTGCTATATAAAATCACTAAGAATAAAGAATTGCCCAGTCAGCAACAACAACAAACGTTACAAAATCCAAATTCAGAATGTAATGTTTCGACAAGAGGTATCGCCGTTAATATAAATAATCAACCAAACGAATATAGTTTGAACGCCAGTCCTGAGAATTTCTCTCAACATCACATTATCAGCAATAAATTTGGTACAATTAAAAGTTTGGCTACGGTGCATAACGTGCTCAACGAAGCACCTCCTAAATCTAAGTTGAACAACAAGTTGGAAAAACTGGAATATCCACGCCGTGATATAGTATACGTACGGTCCTTGGGTCAAGGAGCCTTTGGTAGAGTTTTTCAGGCTAAAGCCCCTAATTTAATAATGGGCAACGATGAGTTAATGGTAGCGGTGAAAATGCTTAAAGATGATGCTAGCGATCAAATGCAAATGGATTTTGAGCGGGAAGCTTGCTCATTGGCCGAGTTCGATCATCCGAATATAGTAAAGCTGTTGGGGGTGTGTGCTTTGGGAAGACCCATGTGCTTACTTTTTGAATTTATGTCGCCCGGCGATCTTAGTGAGTTTCTACGGTCTTGTTCACCGTACGCCACCCATCGCGAGCACGAACGTAAACCGTTAAATGAAGCACATCTTTTACAAATAGCCGCACATATAGCGGCCGGCATGGTTTATTTATCAGAACGCAAATTTGTACATCGTGACTTGGCTACAAGGAATTGCCTTGTCAATGAGCACATGATAGTGAAAATTGCCGACTTTGGTTTATCGCATAAGATTTACTTACAAGACTACTACAAAGGAGATGAGAATGATGTTATACCTATACGTTGGATGCCGCTAGAATGTATATTATATAATAAGTTTTCCATAGAATCAGATGTTTGGGCTTATGGAATCTGCTTGTGGGAGATTTTTTCTTACGCTCTTCAACCTTATTACGGGATGACCCATGAAGAAGTAATCAAATACATTAAGGATGGTAATGTCTTAAGTTGTCCGGACAATACGCCCTTATCGGTGTACGCTTTGATGAGACGCTGTTGGAATCGTAAGGCCAGCGATAGACCAAGTTTTAACGAAATCAATCATTGCATACAACATAGCATAGCTGAGCATGAGTGTAAAACGGCCCTCGAGATAGGTAATTGATTGTCAGATATTTAAAAATGTAAGTAAAGTTTTAAGAAAAAAGGTTGTTTCCGCATAAGAAAAAAATTTAAGTTCCTCTTCGTTATTATTATTACTATTTATTTATTTTTTGCGCACACAAGATTTTTTTAAAAATAAATTTGGAGGAAATACGAGTTATTCATATAGTGAGGCTATAATTACATAATTTTGGTAGAAAATATTTAAACACTCACCTAATTATTTAATTAATTGTGTCCTTTCATAATGCACACAATAGGCGTAAGTAGTTTTTGTAGCATTAGAACAATAAGACAAATCAGATTTATAATATACATACGAATTAGAGTCTTTAAGAGTCCCTTTGTATCATTTTTGTAATAAATATAATAAAAGCCCATTTAAAAAGCTCCTGCTAATTTTTCGTTTGTTTTAACAAAGGTAATGGGAGAATGGTGCTAC